CTTGTACCACATTTTGTTGTTCATAGTTCTTTGCTACCACAAAAGAGCATTGCTTTAACTATTTTGTTATATGTGAAGCCTTTTTTTTTTTTAATGCCCTTGACCTCTCATAGGTTTATGTTTAGCCATGGAATCTCTAGGTAAAAGACTGTGAGTGTTATAATCACTTTCTTGCATAATTTCAAATTACTTTCCAGAATGGTGTAAGTTGCAGCTCTACCAACAATGCATTAGTGTGCCCATTTTGCCATAGTCCCTGCAACATGGTCTTTTCCCTAGATGCAGGGATGCATGTTTATCCATGTGAGATTTCTCCTTGTTTGTGATGGGAGTAATCGGAGAATTCTCCTTAACTACCTAGACTGGGGTACTCCCATTGGAGCTGATCACGTGCCCAGGCCCTTTCCAGTGGTCCTGTGATTGTACCATTTAGGATAGCACAGATGTCCCGGATTCTCGCCACGGGGCATGTGTGATCTCAGAGACACCTGGTCAGCCCCTTGGTCCCTACGATGGTAGTGGTGAGTGATAGAGGATTTGCCACTGGACAGGAAGAGCTGCTCACTCTAACTTTAGAGGAGAAATAGCTTCAAGCTCTCCCTCAGAAATTCAGTGAGAGTGGGTGGGGATTGTTTTCTCCTCTTCTTCCTTTGGAAACAGTGGCAATTGTACACTTATGTCAGAGAATATATGTCCTTGCTAAGCTGCAGAGCTTTATACTTGAGGAAGGGTTGACTGAGAGATTTTGGCAAACTCTCCTGGGTGAAAATTTCCTACCATGTATCCTACTGGCACACTGGGCAGTCCATTTATTTCCCCAACATATCTACTGCTATTGTATAGGACAATCCCTATCCAGGCATTCTTATAACATATAGGGCATCCCAGACGGAGGGCCAAACCCATCTGACTCTAGGACAGTCGGGGTTTGCTCAAGAAGCAAGCAAGCAAAATCAGGTGAGCCCTAAATATGTGTTAGGATTAAAAAATGGGATTCAATACCTGGGCTTCATCGAAATCAACCCCTCACATCCTCAGTGGTTCCCCAGATGTAAAGTTCCACTCATCTTGGTCTTTATGTACGGAGGCTTCCAAAAACATGGACTCCATGTGCTCGTGAGGGTCTATGTGAAGAGACTGCTGACCCACATACTTTAGGTCTTTTAGTGTGTATCTGGTTCAAAGTCCCGCTTGACAGAGACATACTTGTGGGTGCCCAGGTGAGCAGCATAGGTTCTCTAAAACCTCAAAAGGCCAGTAAACCTCTGGCCTTTTTTTACTTTGGGTAAGTGAGTGTCAGTAGCTTGTTCTGGACTGTCTGTATCCCCTAAAGCTTGACTGAGTGAGCTGGATCCAGGATTTTCTTAAGTCTGACCTCCCACCCCCTGTTCTTCATGTGGGCCACCATCAATCTAGGGCCTTTGCCACTATTGCCTCATTGACCTAATCAACATGTCTTCCCTATCGTGATGGCTATCAGTGCCTTCAGGAAGTGGGACTTCTTTCAGGCCTCTTTGCCCACCAGACCAGCAGAATGAGTGAGGTTCAGGTGTTCTTGGTGAAGGATAGTGAAGATACCTGGACTCCTTCCCAGGAAAAGATGGACTACCCCTGACTAGCCTTAGCCACAACAGTAGATACAAGAGCATTAGTGAAGTCAGTAACCCTATACCAGTCACTGATAGGAGCTTGGCAACTGCTTAAGCAATTGGTGTAATGACTTTGTTTGGCTTCCTGTAGTCTACTGTAACCCTCTAATAAGTGCCACCCACCTTCCTTATTCACTGCCCAGGGTTACATCAGGTGAAATAGTGTGGTGATGAACTCTAGTCTTCACTATCTTTACTTTCCTTCATTTAGGAAGGAAATAAGACCTTGTATTGTTTGATGTGAACTATACCAGATGGCTTGTGCAACTCCTGGGGTTTCCATTTGGCCTTAAACACAATTACTGGCATGGAGATGACTTTCATTACCTCTTCAGGATCTGGGCTGGGCATGACTGAAGGGCTTTGACTGTCAGTGCTGGATGTTTTAGTTCAGTTTTACCAGCATCCTGTAGGCTGATGTTGAATTATTTCCTTACCAGTCCTATATTTCAAGAGCCATACCAAAAGTTCATTCTGAGAGGCGTCATCAGCCGTCACCTACAGAGTCTGAGGCAGACACCGTTCGTCTACCCACCATCCCTAGAGTGCATATTCGTATCCGCCACTGTGGCTCTCTCCATCTCACTAGTAATCCTGCCCATGACTGTACTGTGAGATGATAGGAGAGGCCCACAGTTAAAGCTTAATGCCACTGAAGTTGGGATCCAACCTTTCAGAAGGCAGAATCTAATTGCTCCTGGCTGGTCATTGGGAGTAGGGACTAGGTCAGGGGTAGGGAGACAGGCCGGTGGTACTGCGCTCCTTGCTCTTCCTCAAACAAGACACTCCATCTCTTGGCTCTAAATATTTTCAGTGGCTATTCCCCCATGCCTCGAATGCTCTCTTTCATTTCTTCCTCCTAGCTTACCTGGCTTCCTTCAAGTCCCAGCTAAAATCCCACCTTCTACGGGAAGCTTTTCCTAATCCCCTTTAATTCTAGTGTTTTCCCTCTGTTGATTATTTCCAATTTATCCTCTGCTCATATCTGCAGGGTTTCTTTTTTTCCAGTGCCCTTAATTGAGTGTAATTCACTTAGATACTTAAATTCACTCATATAAACTAGATGCTACCTTATTGTCTCTTTGCATAGCTTCACTTCAAATTTCTATTAATAATGTTTGTTCTAAGTGGAGGCAGACCTCCAATAAAGGATGAAACCATGACCTGAGGCACTCTGATTTACTTTTGGACAGATCTGATAGTTGGGAAATTTTTGCTTGCCTTAACTAAAATCGACCACCTGGAACTTCTATCCACCTTACTTAAGCTGAAAGTATAACATGTAGAGAGCTAAGTGTACGTGTGTGTTCTGTTAACCTGAACTCAACAAATGCAGTGAAAAATAAATAAATAAAAATTTTTAAAAATAAAAAAAAATTACGTTCTAAACACATTCCAGAAGACTAATGTATGAAGCGTGCTGTCCACCTCTTGGTGGAATGGATTCAGTGTGCTGAATGAAACACAAATTTTTTGACATAGCCAATATGGGCATTTGTGTGACTTGACTATGCATATTTTAACAAGGGTTTTATTTTTGTTTTTTCCACTGAAGTAGGAGGGGGAGGGAGAGGAAAACTAAAAATTGAATTGTTTAAAGAAATAAAAAAGACACAAAGGGTCATTGAAACATTTTTTTTCTAAATAGATAAAAGAACAGAAGGAAGGCCAGAAGGAAAAACAGAGGAGCAGAACAACTTCAACAGTTAGAGCTTGAATTTATTTTATACTTAAAAAAGAAAAAACAAACGGTTTATAATAGAGAGTCACAGTTTCCAATATAATCCTCTTTCTGTTCTACTTTTTATGTGAAAATACTGATTTTATTTAGTGTTTGCTAGAAGGTCAGAATAAAAAAAATTAATCTAGTGTTTGTTCTACAATTTTAAAATTGCAGATTATTCTATATAGGAGATGAGGCAGAATCTAGGATTTACTATAAGAAGCAGTTTCCTTTCCCCTAGCATGGAAAGTATTGACTTTTCTTTCTTTCCTTCAGAGTGCCTTAATCTGGAGTCTAGGTGGGAAACAACAGAGGCTATTGCAGTCCAAGGCATTTCTCTAGGGAAGTCATCTAAGGAAAGAATTAAGGATGGGCCATGGGATTCTGTGTTAGGAGAAGCTTAGGAATGTGCTTTTAGATCGGAGCAACAGAAAGCCAGCTATGAAAAGCAATCCCAGCAGGTGACAATCCGTCATAGAAAAACTTCTGATTTTTATACCAACGAATGTAATATGTTGGGAACAGACTTCAATCTGGGGTCAATCCTGATTCCACGGCATCAAGATCATAAGGGGAAAAATATTCATAAATGTGATACACATGGAATAAACTTTAAACAGTGTTCAGAAAAATGTAAGCATAATATTATTTTTTCTGAGACACTTTGCAAATATAAATACAAAAAGTCAGACAGTTGTGCTTTACATCTTACTCAAAATGACAGAAAATATACTGAAAAAATATTATGTGAAGGTGGGAAAGTGTTGAGTAGCAATGCGTCCCTTACAAATCATCAGATATTTCCAGCTGCACAGAAATCTTTTCAGTATAATATATGTGGGAAAGACTCTAGCTGCAAATCTCTTCTCTATCAAGAACTTCATACTGAAGAGGACACCTCTATGTAAGGAATGGGAAAAATCCTGTAGCTGGCATGAACAACTTACTGAACATAACAGAGTTCATACTGGAGAAAAACCCTTGCAATGTAATAAATGTGGAAAATCCTTTAGCTGGAGGGGACGTCTTGCTCTACATAAGAGAATTCATGCTGGAGAGAAACTTTTTGCATGCACTGAATGTGGGAAATCCTTTAATCAGTATGGAAAACTCAATGAACATAAGAGAATTCATACGGGAGAGAAACCCTTCCCATGCAATAAATGTGGCAAATCCTTTAATCGGCGGAAAGCACTCATTATCCATAGGAGAATTCATACTGGAGAGAAACCATTTGGTTGTAGTGAGTGTGGGAAATTCTTCAATCAGAGGGGATACCTTACTGGGCATAAGAAAATTCATACTGGAGAAAAACCCTTTGAATGTAATGAATGTGGGAAATTCTTTAGGCGAAGATGACACCTTACTACGCATATGGTTATTCATACAGGAGAGAAACCCTTTGAATGTAATGAATGTGGGAAAGCCTTTAATGAATGTGGAAAGCTTACTGAACACAAGAGAATTCACACAGGAGAGAAGCCCTTTGAGTGTACCGAATGTGGAAAATCCTTTAATTCAAATGGACAACTTACTACACACAGGAGAATTCATACTGGAAAGAAACCCTTTCAGTGTAATGAATGTGGGAAGTCCTTTAATTGTCGAAAAGCACTTATTGTACATAGAAGGATTCATACTGGAGAAAAGCCTTTTGAATGTAACGAATGTGGAAAATCCTTTAACTGGAGTAGACAACTTACCGCACATAAGAGAGTTCATACTGGAGAGAAACCCTTTGAATGTAATGAATGTGGGAAATCTTTTAGCAGGAGTGCCTCCCTTACTAAACATAAGAGAATCCATATTGGAGAGAAACCCTTCGAATGTACTGAGTGTGGGAAATTCTTTAATTGTCATGCACACCTTAGTGAACATAAGAGAATTCATACTGGAGAAAAACCCTTTGAATGTAATGATTGGTCTCCTTTAGGTGGAGAGGACAACTTACTAGACGTAAGAGAATTCATACTGGAGAAAAACCCTTTGAATGCAACGAATGTGGAAAATTCTTTAATCAGCGTGGAAACCTTACTGAACATGAGAGAATTCACACTGGAGAGAAACCCTTTGAATGTAGTGAATGTGGGAAATCCTTTGAACAGCGTGGAAACCTTACCGACCATAAGAGAATTCATACTGGAGAGAAGCACTTTGAATGTAATCAATGTGGCAAATCCTTTAATTGTCGTGGAAAACTTATTGACCACAAGAGAATTCATACTGGAGAGAAACCTCTTTGATTGTAGTGAATGTGGGAATTCCTTTCCCTGTAGAGCAGTGCTTAGTGACATAAGAGAATTCATATTGCAGAGAAATCCTTGAGTGTAATGAATGTGTATAATCTTTTCACTGGAGGGGATAGCTTACTAGCATAAGAAAATTCATTTATGAAAGAAACACTTTGATTGCAGTGGATGTAGGAAATCCTTTAACCAAAGTGAACAGCTATTATACATAAAATTCATGAATTAAAGCTACTTGGAATGTTCAGAATGCAAACTGTCTTTTAGCTGGTACCAAGATCTTACTAAGCATGAGAATTCATGGTAGGGAGAAAGCTTTTGTGGAGTACAGCAGTTTCATTGGCATGTGAATCACCTTGAAATGGTGAAATGGTGAAATGGTGAAATGGTGATGGAATACATCTCACTGTATTACTTTCTATGTAAAAGACACATACCGTATGTCACCAATTTTTCTTTTCTGCTTAAATTTGTTTCCAAGGCATCAGCTTCCCTCCACGTCAAGCTTTTCCTCCCTAGATAAAAAAGACATGTACTTCTTGCTCTGAGCTCCAAAATCTCCCTTAACTGCAATTTTTGCAGGGTGAATTAAGTAATATTTCATCTTAAATCCATAATAAAGGCCCAAATTGAGGTCATTTATCCATTTATCCAGAGAAATATCTCTCTTCCCTGTTGTGAACTACTCTCAGTGGAAAAAAAGGAAGAAAAACTCTTCCATCAGCCCTTTTTCATTGAACCCCAGAATGGGTCCATTTGGGATACTGGGCGGAACCAATGGGGCACGTTATTGGTAGGTTTTAATGGTGGGGCCCTCTGTGCTCTAAATGATTGGGAACCACAGGTCTGGGGCATGCACAGCTGTGTGGGCTGACAGTCCAGGTGTTGTAGTGAACTGCACTCACTACAGTTTAAGTTTCTGGATTTCACTTGTGCTTGTGAATGCCTGCAATAAACCTGGCTATGTTCCAGAACTGCCACTGTGTCACTGATACTGAACCTCCGATTTGATTACCGTATCCAATCAGCTATCACACCCTTGGAACATTAATCAATATAGGAAAATGTTCACAAATGACCTGCTTTATTTGACAGTGTAAAGTTCACGTCCAAGAGAAATTCTTTGTAATTGTTATGGGAAAGTTTTCAGCCACAGCCACTGCCTTATGTAGCATTAAAGCATTCACAAACAAAGGATGTCAGAAACCAGAACCCATTCCTGACCAGTATTCTCCTCCATTTGCTGGAGATACTGTAGTCATCCAGCCTCTGATTGAAAATCTCCACTGAATGGAAACCCACTATCTGAGGAACTTCATATTACTTTTAGACAGTTCTAATTGTTAGGAAGAAGGCAGCTAGGTGGCGCGGTGGATGGAGTATTGGGGCTGAAGTCAAGAAGACTCACCATCCTGAGTTTAAATATGGCCTCAGATACTTAGTAGCTGTGTGACCCCGGGCAAGTCACTTGACTTTGTTTGCCTCAGTTCCTCATCTGTGAAATGAGCTGGAGAAGGAAATGACAAACCACTCCAGTGTCTCTGCCAAGAAAACCCCACATGGGGTCGTGAAGAGCTGGACACAACTGAAAATGACTCAACAGCCACAGTTGTTAGGAAGCGCTACTTTAGAGCAGAGGTTCTTTTAAAAAATTGTTTTAAATTATATTTTTTTCAATGAACAAAAATCCACCTTGACGTCTCCCTAAGAAAGAAAACAAAACCCCCGTTACAAACATGAAATCAAACAAAACATTGTCAATGTCCAAAAAGAGGCCTTGATTTTACACTTGATCCCACCTCCTTCTGAGGAGATAGATAGCATGTTTTGTCATAAGTCCTCTGGAATCATGGCCGTTCATTGTGTTGATCAGAGTTACTAAGTCTTTTAAAGTTGCTTATCTTTACACTATTGTTTCTATTATATAAATTGTTTTGTTTCTACACACTTAACTCTGCAATCAGTTCGTACAAATCTTCCTATGTTTTTCTGAAACTATTCCCTTCATCATTTTTTGTGTGTGTGTGTGTGTGTGAGACAATTGGGGTTAAGTGACTTGCCCAGAGTCACACAGCTAGTGAGTGTTATGTGTCTGAGGCCATATTTGAATGCAGGTCCTCCTGACTCCAGGGCCAGTACTCTATCCACTGCACCACCTAGCTGCTCCCCTTCATCATTTCTTATAGCACTATAGTATTCCATCATACTCATATGTCATAACTTATTCAGCCATTCCCTAGCTGATGAACACCCCCTAAGTTTCCAGTTCTTTACCACTTCCTAAAAAGCTTCCATAAATATTTTTTAGCATATGGATTCTTTCCTTCTTTCTTTAATCTCTGAGGTACAGACTTAGGAGTGATATTGTTGGGCCAAAGGGTATGCACAGTTTAATAACTTTTTGGTCATAGTTCTAAATTGCTTTCCAAAATGACTGGACCGGTTCACAGCTCCACAAATCAGTGTGTTAATATACCTGTTTCCCTTCTCTAGCATTTGTTGTTTCCATTTTGTTTGTTTGTTTGTTTTTGATCAACTTCGCTAATATGGTTGTGAGGTGGAACTTCAGAGTTGTTTTATGTAAGGGACCACAGGCCCAGTATGACCTCTGGAAAATTACTAGGTTGCAGTTGTCAAGGCCTCCTTGTGATAAGAACAAATTACTACCTCTTCCTGGAATACCCCTAT